AACACATTGGAGATGCAGTGCTGACTTGCCAGTATTTGAGGGTTGTGTGGGTAACTTTCATCTGCTAGACTTTCCAGATTCCTCCCATTTCTCATGGTCTTAAAATTTCAGTCCCCAAGTATCCCTGAGAAAGGGCAGCAGCAACTGCAGTTAGCTCTGTGCGGTGCTATCATGCTTCAGTGTTTATGTCCTTCAGGTTTATCTACCGAAGCTCCAACTCTACACATGGCTGGCTTTGGAGATGAGGCTTCTGAGGAGGTATCTAAGGTTAAATTAGATCATTGAGTGGGGCCCTGATGGGCTAGGGTGAGTATTTTGTAAGTATTTTATAAGAAGATTCCCTACTTTCTCTCCTCCCTGTAACCATCTCTGAGAAGGGGCCATGTCAGAATACAGTGAGAAAGTGGATGAGCTGGGAGAAAACCCTCACCAGAGACCAAATTTGATCCTGAAGTTCTAGCTGCCCAATCTAGGAGATAATAAATTCCTATTGTTTAAGCCGCCCCGTCAGTGGTGCTTTGTTATAGAAACCTGAACAGACTTGTCAAGTACCTGTAAAATACTATGGGGGCCATGTATAGGTGACTCATGCCTATAATCCTAGCTACTCAGAAGGCTGAGATCTGAGGATCATGCTCAAAGCCAGTTCATGTAAGACACTTATCTCCAATAAACTACTCAGAAAAATCTGGAAGTGGTGCTGTGGCCCAAGTAGTAGAAACCACAAAGAGGCCCAGGGACAGTGCCCAGGCCCTGGGTTCAAACCCTAGGACTGGATATACATATATATATATATATATATGTATGGTTTCAACAGAATTCTGTGTAATCCTATGCTGCGTATGCTTAAGAACATTACTCAAATTTATTATCAGACTGTTCATGAGACCTGTGCCCTCCACCCCAACACACAAAAAAGAACCTCTTTATCTTCTTCTGGAAGTCATAAGTATATATCTTATGAGGGATGAGGTGACTGTCAACATATTACCAGGATCTAAGATAGTCCAAATGTATAACCTTTAATGAAATTAAAAAATCTATAGGTTGATACAGATATAGCAGGAAAAACATTGTATAAGATTTTCTAAAATATTTAATTCTACCAGATCTTTATGCTGTGTGTGAGCCACAGCAGACCAGAACCTCACCAGATGTAAAGGTATAACATGCCTAGTTAGCATGTGCAGAGAGCATATGGATCACCGCAGTACGCGTGCACTACAGATGACAGTGAGCCCATACAGTGGGAAGTTCAAAAGAAAATTACAACATTGCTACTAATGCTTTAAAGCGGAGCTGCCAGAGTCCCTCCAATAACCCAGAGATGCTGATGTGGGAACTGGAACCACTGCTGGTTATGCCTACAGTTAGTGAGTCAAAACTCATTCACTGGAGTAAGACAGTCAATCTGTAGAGCATCAGCTAACGAGGTATGAGGCCCAGGCCTCAAACCACAGTACTTCCAAAGGGAAGGGGGAAGGCAAGGAAGTTTTGTCTTGACGTTAGGTCCTAGCCACTGATTTATAAATACCCCAAAAGATTTCTTTGATAGGAAGAAAAATCACTTGCAGAATCTTCCAAGATATCTTCCAATACCTGACAAGTCTATCAACACCAGATCCTAAGACCACAGAAGATAGTGTTGATGAGGACGGAGAAAAATAGGAACTCCTGTACCATTGGAGAGAATAGAAAGTAGCGTAGCAACCATGGAGAAAACAAGAGAAGAAAAGAAAAGTAGACATACCATATAATCAAGCAATCCCACATCTAAATATTTATTCCAAAGAACTATAATCAGGATTTTAGAGTGTATTAGCAGTCTCATATTTGTGCCATACTAATTAATAGATAGCCAAAGCTGTGGATGAACCTGACTATTCATTGACAGGATCCAAGGACATCTTAATCCACAGAAGAGATACAATACATGTGTTACATATATGTGTTGTGGAGTGCTATTCAGCCCTGAAAAGGAAAGAATGCTGCAGTACACGACAACATGGCAGAATAAAGACAAAATCACTGGTAGACAAAAATGGCATGATTCTACTTATACAAGATATGGAAAAATCAGATTCACAAAATCAAATATGAAATTTGATTACCAGGCGGGCTGGAGAGAAGCGAATGGATAGTTACTAGTCATAAAGTTTCTATGTAGCAAGAAGACAGGCCCTAGAGATCTATAGTATAACACTGTATCCATACTCAACAATAAAGCATAATTAAAAATCGATTAAAGTGGGCTGGGAAGGTGGCTCAGTGGTAGAGTGCTTGCCTTGCATGCATGAGGCCCTGGGTTCAATTCCTCAGCACTGCATAAGCAGAAAAAGCTGGATGTGGTGCTGTGGCTCAAGTGGTAAAGCGCTAGCCTTGAGCTGAAGAGGTGGGGGACAGTGTTAAGGCCCCACGACCGACAAAAACAAACAAAAATATGCATTAAAAAAGCAGATATCATCTTGTATTCTTAAAACAACAACCAAAAAGAATTAAAAATAGTTTTTAATAAAATGCAGGGTTGAGAAGCAAGGGCCCAGTTTAAGGAATATGTAAAAATGACTATGAAAAGAAACTTTTGTTTAAAAACTAGAGAAAACTACCCCTGCATTTTATAAAACATTTTACATAGTCCTCTAAAGGAGTTTAGCTGCTGTCTATATGTGGTACATCCTGTCCAAGTATTGGTTAAACTAAAAGGTGATTGAGAATTACTACCAAGTTACAAGTGGTTTTAGTTTTATTAAATCAGATGTCTATTTGTATATACATGTCATATAATATGGTAGTTTAAATGGGCTTTTAACTGAATACACTGAAATCAATACTGATGGTTATATAAAGTGCCAAGAGAGAAAGAATGCTTGAGATGGACATATAGACACATAATACATGTCATGTACTGTGGGTGTTTGTTAAACATGGATTCAAATCAAAATCTTTAAGGCATATCTCTCTTGGCAGGTAGGTGTGGACAGGGGGGAGAAGCAAGGACTGTCCTGGTCCTGCGGAATTAACCTGCTAGTGTTCATATAGATGGTGGAACCTGACTGAGGCTGTGAGCCCAGAAATCAGCAGAAAAGAGATAGGTACAAAGGACATGGGTCACATGGGTTGTTGCAGAATACCATGGAGAGTACAGATGGCTATGGAATTGTGGAGGGAGGGTTGGAGTGTATGAGAGATGGACAGGTAAGTTGGGCCTATAAGAAAATTCGAATGCCAAGATCTGGAGTTCAGTAGCTAGCCAGAAGCCATGAAAAGGCGCAATGGATAGCGGCTGGATTTGTTTTTAATTTAAAAATGAACAAGTATAGGTCAATGTTTTGCTCTGGAGTTTTGAGACTCAGAAGACTTTGCTTGTTCACCTTTGCCTAGCCAGCACCCACAGCTTAGGTGCCAGGCACCTAACAGGATGCCACTGAGTTCAGGTCACCTGGAAAGTGACAGGACTGGGACAAAGTTGCAGGCAGGAGCAGGCTGGTATGTGCGCACTGGAGTGGCAGGATGGAGCTAGAAGAATGTGTAAGCTTAAGGACCTTATTCTCTGTGGAGGATTTGTGAGATTTGTTTTGTAGATAGTGGGCAGGATTATTTTAAGTCTTTGGTAGGCATTTGACAATGCATACCAAGCTTTCCTATTTCACCCCAAAACTACTTCTGGTGCCTATCTTAAAATGATAATCCTAAAGAAATGTTTTGTGTATAAACATCATTCACAGTATTGTTTTTTTAAATTTTTTATTTTAAAGGTGATATATAGAGGGATTACAGTTACATAAATCAGTCGAGTATATTTCTTTTTGAACAGTGTCACCCCTCCCTCATTTTCTCCCAGTTTGTTCCCTCCTGACCCTCCTTGCCCCGAAATTGTATAGTTCATTTCTAACATAGTGTCTAGTGAGTATCACTGCTCAATTAGTTCAATATTGTTTTTAATAGAGAAAAATGGAAACAGTCTAATAACCAGCAAACACCTGATATATTGGTATATATTTGTGAAGTTTTGAATTCACTATTATCATTATTATAAAAGATATGGATAAGCCCTTGCCTAGTATATGTGAGGCCTTGAGTTTCATCTCCAGCATTATAATACCTGTAAGCCTGGCACTGGTGGCTCACACCTGGAATCCTAGCTACTCAGGAGGCTGAGATCTGAGGATCGCGGTTCAAAGCCAGCCCAGACGGGAAAGTCCATGAGACTCATATCTCCAATTAACCACCAGAAAACCGGAAGTAGAGCTGTGGCTCAGTGAGTAAAACCGCTCAGGGACAGCGCCCAGGTCCCGAGTTGAATCCTCACAACAGACAATATAATGATGATAATTAATAATACTAAGTATTTATGTCAAGCCTTTAAAAGATGCAAAATTGATCATAGATACGGGTGTGTGGAGTGGGTGAGGAAATCATTCAGTTAAACATGTTTTTCTGAGAGTGTCTGCATTTTCCTATGAGTTAAAATCCTTCAGTAAGTCCACTATGTTGCAGAGGGTGCTCTGGAGGACACAGGAAACCGTGGAATAAACCTAAATTCTGTCTTAAGGGACGTGGTGAGGTCGGCCTCGGGAAGGCGGGCCGACTCCTCCCTCCTCCCGGCCGTCCCCGCGCAGCACCTGTGTCACCCAGGTAACCGGCACACCTGGAGGACCTCGCGGACGTGTAGTCTGGATGGAGGAGAAGTCAAGCCGACGTCCTAGTTGATGACTTCTTCTGTTTTGTTTTGTGCTTTTGACTTGGCGAATCAGGAATGCAAAGGAAGGCGACTGGGAATGAAACTGCATGCACTTTTTGACCCAGAGCCGGGAGCAGGGAGCGGCGGCAGCGGCCAGGACGCGCCCGTCCTGCAGGCGACGCTGCAGCGGGACCCGCGAGCGGCGGGCGGGCTGAGCTCGGGCTCCAGCCACAAGGTGAAGTGGACGGACCACGTGACCCGAAGGGCGGGGGTAGGAGGACAGGGTCTGGCTAGGCATCTTCCTTTACTGTCAGGCGGGCGGAGCCGTGAACCAAACCAACGTCTTTGGAGCGGCTGGGGGCGGAGCCCACGAATGCGGGCTTAGAAGTCGGGAGCTCCGGCTTCCGCCGAGTTGGTTTTTCGGTTGCTGAGTCGCGGTGACTCGGTGGTCTGCGGTCGGGCTGAGCCGCGCGGTGCAATGGCGACCTTTGTGAGCGAGCTGGAGGCGGCCAAGAAGAACTTGAGCGAGGCCTTGGGGGACAACGTGAAACAGTGAGAGCCGTCAGGGCGCGGCCTCTAGGCCTGGGCGCCGGCGATCTGGCCTGGGGCGGCCACCACGCGCCGCGGGTTTCTCCCCACGGCTCCGAGGCCTGCGGAGCCTAGCGCCGGCCTCGGCGCCCCTGGGGTTCTGAAGCAGGGTGGGGCGGCCGCGGGGACCCACCGCGCCGGGGGGGGGGCGGGGAGACGCCCCGGAGACACCCCTGAACGTCCCCGGGTCACCCGGGTGGGGCGGGAGGAGCGGGGTTCACCGTCCGAGGGGCTGCGGAGCAGGGGCGTCCGGCGCGGGGTGCGGACGCGTGGGGCGGCGGGACCGGGAGGGCTTCCTGGAGGCGGAGGTTTGGGGGAGCCGGGTCGCGCGGGAACTTTGACAGCGGCACGGGGAGGCAGACTGACCCTAGGTGAAATCCATCACCGAACCGCACCACAGCTACTACCTTGGCCAACACTTGAGTGTGCCAACTGCCCCCACGACGCAGGCTCAAGGAGAATTCCCTTTTGCAGAGACCTAGCGAGTTTAAGCTGACTCCTCTAAAGCCACTTGCGGGGATTGCGCCCACGCTCCGGATTGAAAGCCAGACGCCCGATCACCCCCATTCCTGATCAGGCTGGAGGCCAGGGCAGGGGACTCGGTAAAAGGCACTTCCAGATTAATGGTGCCCCTGATTGAACCTCTGACATACACAGAAGAGCTGGAGAATTTAAAAATTAAAAAAAAATATATGTATCCTAATAGCTCTTTGCTTTGGTAGTATTGATGACATTTAGTTTTTTAAAATAGCAGTTGCTAGCTGATTAACGAAGGCAGAGGAAGGGGCAGGATCAGAGCACTTAGTGATGCTAAATTCCCTCCCACCTCTAACAACATTTTCTTTTCATCCTTCTCCATGTTTATTGTTCCACTGGATTAGATTACTTAGATTAGATGATCTGGAGTCTTTCCCCTCATATAAAATTTTGGGCTGAAAAATTGTTTGTCTCATCCTATCAAGATCTTAACAAGCTTGATACAATAAATCAAAACGTCTATGAAGACTAGATTTATAATCTAATCTACTGATTGACCGAATTTTTTTCTATTTTTTAGTAAACATTTGGTGACCTCCAAAATGCACTGCTCTACTTAGAGTTATATTTTAATATTCACGTTCATGGACACGCTATTCTTTACTTGTGTAGTGAATTAAAAATTCTTAATTTTAACAAGCAGTTAAAACAGTTTTCATTCTCATTAGTTGTGATAGCTTTTTAATTTTGTAATGCTGGTAAAATTTACATTTCTATAAGCATAGTTGGACATTTGTCCTCTCACCAACTTGCAAGTATTTGGAAGTACACTAAATCTGAAAGACAATGTATGTATGAATTACTTTTTTTTTTTTTTGGTGGCAGTACTGGGCATGAGCTCAGGGCTTTGTACTTGTTTGACTTTTTTCCACTCATGGCTGGTACTCCACTACTTGTAGAGTATTACTCAGATCAGCTTTTTTGCTGGTTAATTGGAGATGGAATCTCTTGGACTTTGCTGCCTGGGCTAGCTTTGTACTGTGATCCTCAAATCTCAGCCTCACTAGTAGCTAATCAGCACCCAGGTTAAGGTGACTTTAACCTGACTAGCTGCAAGGATTCCTCCCCTTCTACCCCACCCCCGGTTGACTTCAGGACTGCTGGAAATATATTTTGAAGTTACCATTTCCTATTCCCCTCCCCCCTTTTTTTTCTGTATTGAAGTTTGGACTGAGCCTCCTATTTACTAAACAGATGCTCTACTACTTGAACCATGCCCCCAGTCCACTTTTGTTTTACTGTTTGAATAAAGTCTTGCATTTTTTTGCTTGCACTAACCTCTAATCTTGATCATTCTACTAAGGCTGAGTATGCAGGCCTGGACAACCATACCTAGTTTATTTGTTGAGATGGAGTCTCACTAACTTTTTGCCCCCCCTAGCCTCATACTGTGTTCCTCTCAATCTCTGCTTCCAGTATAGATGGGATTATAGGTGTAAGTCACTATGTCTAGCTTCCTCTTTTCATTGTTAAAGGTCAATACTGACTACCTGACAGCCAAACGTGAATGCCCCAGCTAAACCGGGTGCATCTGTAGTGTGAATTCCCACTAGCAATGTAATCCAAGGAGTTTTTTCTGCTAAGAAGTAATCCAAGGAGATCTTTGTGCTAAGAAAAGTTAATGGTGTAGTATTATATTGTTCTACATTTGTATTTCTATTGTCTAGTTCCCCTTCTAGTCCTTAAAAAGTGCCTCGTAGTTAAATAGTTTATTTTTTATTATCTTTAAGTAGTTGTACAAAGAAGTTCCCATTCTACAAAACAGTATATGAATACAAAGTGTCTGACAACATTGTCACCCATTGCTGCTATTGGTTACATAGTTTGTAAATAGTTTTTATAGTGTCCTTGATGAATAGTTTGCTTTGCTTTGTGCATCCTACCCATTGAAAGGCGATCCAGGGTGGTATGTAAAACATAAGATTATACCAAGAGCCTTATGCCCTGTGCTCATTGTCTTTTATGTCTGACTGAATTAGATTGAATGATCACGTGGCCTAATTTAAATTCTAAATTCTGTTGAAAGGTAACCACTTTCTAAGATTCTGAAATTTGTCTTCCACATATGCATTGGGGAGGGGACACGTGACATAGTTCAGGCAATGTCACTGGGGACCATACCATTCCTTCCCTGGGAATTGGAACAAGTGAGGTGAAGAGGGGGGAAGAGGCAAAATCAGTGGTTATTGATGTTATTTCTGCTCTTGCAGATACTGGGCTAACTTAAAGTTATGGTTCAAGCAGAAGATCAGCAAAGAAGAGTTTGACCTGGAAGCTCATAGACTGCTTACACAGGACAATGGTAACATACCAGACCATGGAGTTACTCTACTGCTCCTAAGCCTTCCCGGATGTTCAGGAAATGAAAGTCTTTTCACTTTTTTGGAAACAAAATTTTGGTAGATAAGTGAATCTCAATATTGTAGATATTAAAATGAAGTGTGAAGAATGGCAGAGTAGGGGATAGTCAGTCTTAAAAAATAATCTAGTGGTTCTTTTCTGTTGGAAATTATATTTGACTTGTGACAACCTTCCATTTTCCAGTTCATTCTCACAATGATTTCCTGCTGGCCATTCTCACGCGCTGTCAGATTTTAGTCTCTACACCAGGTGAGAAAGGGATGGGAAAGCTTCTTATATATGTTGCTTGGCAAAGCCAGGGAGCAGTAAGCTTTTGTGTCCTTCAACAGATGCATCTGGTTTGCAAATGAAATGTTCTTTGAACTGTTCACCAAAGAAAAATTCATTGGTTGTAAATTATTTAATTATTTCACAGATTTTTTTTTTTTTTGTCACTTGTGGGGCTTGAACTCTGGGCCTGGCGCTGCCTCTCAGCTCTTTAGCTCAAGGTGAGCACGCTACCACTTGAGCCACAGTGCCACTTCCAGAATTTCTTTTTTTAAATACTAGTATCAAGGTTTGAATTCAGGGCCTTGAGCTTGCCTAGCTCAATTGCTCAGGTGACACTCTACCAATTGAGTCACAACTCCCACTCAGCTTTATGCTGGTTATTTTGGAGATGGAGTATCAGAGATTTCTCTACCAGGGCTATCTTTGAACACAATACTCTGGATCTCAGCCTTCTAAGTACAAGACTACAGGTGTAAGCCAATGGTGTTCAGCTCACAGAGTCCTTTGAAAGTGCATCTCCCTATACTTCTACTAACTTTTAGTGTTTACTTCCCTTCTGCTGCATTTTAGGATACTTAAGTGAGAAATGTTGAAGTGGTAGGACCTCAGGTTCAGAAAGTGAAGAGCAGGAAGAGAAGGGCTGGCATTAAGAGAATGTAGGAGAATGTGTTTAGTAGACACTGGGGAGGAGTTGTATGGTGGGCAACTAAGGTAGGTGTTTTAAGGAGGTTTGAGCTTCAGCATGCATATTTGACAAGTTATTGATTGAGAGATTAGTGATACTAAACCTATCACTTCCTCCACAAGAGTTACAGCTAGAAACACTGACTCTTAAAAAGTTCTTGGAGTGGGAATGGTAGTTTTGTGTGGTTGGAGGACGATTGAGTTACAATATACCTCATTTAACCATCCTACGGTAATTAGGTAAAAATAAGTAATACATTGTAAACTTCTCTTATGACAAAAACTGTCCTAGACTTTACTAAGAACTGAGCTTCATGGATATCTCCTGCCTTGGTAGATTAAGTTGATTTATTTTTAGTGCATAGGTGATTTCTCTTGATTCAAAAAGCAATCAAGAAATGACTTGTGGTTGGGTGAGGTGGGTATCAGTGGGTAGGAGAGTCACTGTGAGTCTGGCAAAAAATAACTATCTAAAAAATAAATAGGGGCTGGGAAGGTGGCTCAGTGGTAGAGTTCTTGCCTTGCATGCCTGAGGCCCTGGGTTCGATTCCTCAGCACCACATAAGCAAAAAGAAAAAAGCCGGAAGTGGCGCTGTGGCTCAAGTGGTAGAGCATTAGCCTTGAGCTGAAGAGCTGAGGGACAGCGCCCAGGCCCAGAGTTCAGGCCCCACGACCAGACCCCCCCCCCAAAAAAAAAAAAAAAAAAGGAAAGGGCTGTGTATGGCTTGAGTGGTAGAGCACCTGTCTAGCAGGCACAGAGCCCTAGCTCAAACTCTAGTACTGCTGGGGTTTTACTTTTAAAACCGTAACGAATGCCAAATAGATATGAAGTGCCATTAGTAAGTTCAGGTAACTGACTTAATCAAATAAAAACCTTGATGTTCTTGTGTTAGTATTATTGTCTATTTAAAAATGAATGAATTCAAACATCCCATTAGAATCCTGAGAATTAATCCTCTGTTCAAAACTCCACATTTATTTCCTCAAAATGAAACAAAGCAAAATTTACTTTATACTTAACAGTTGTATTGGCTGTTTTTCTAGGCAAGGCTGGGAAAAAGATTTTTATATTATTATTTATGGAGCACAGCACACCATATACTCTATGTGTATTGTTTTTAATCCTTAAGCAACTCCACAGATGATGTTAGCCTCTTCAGACAGAGAAGATGACTGCCTCCCTCCAAGACTAAACTGAGGCCTTGCCTACCTAAGAGGAAGTGTTGGCTCAAAAATTGTATCTTCAGTGCTATGAAAAAGTATCCCCCCTTTTTTGGGGGAAATCACCCTCTTTTGTCGGGGGTCCTCACCCTTACTTTTAGCAAGGTCTTAGAGGAGATAGTAGATGTGTTTGGTTCACCACCTTGGACTAGAAGGTTCTTTTGTAGCTTTTTTTTTTTTTTCCATGGCTAAGGACCGAACCCAGGGCCTTGTGCGTGCCGGGCAGGCGCCCTTCCACTGGGCTAAACCCCCAGCCCCTGGAATAGAAGATTCTATTCTGATTTTATAATGCTACTACTGATAAATATTAATTAAGAGATGAGAAAACTGTTTTCCTAAAATAATTTTGGTTAGAGCTAGAAAGAAAAATTTGACTTAAGAGTTTGTTTAGAGAAATATAGTATGAAGAGAAGATCTAGGTATGAGCATTTGTTATTTATTTTTCTTATTAGAGAATTCCATACTTTCTAGCACCAAATGAAAACAAATGTGACAGTTGTCCATTGTCATCATTATATTCACTTACGCATATTATTTTTCTGTCTCATAGAGGGTGCTGGGTCTTTGCCCTGGACAGGGGGTTCTGCAGCGAAACCTGGAAAACCCAAGGGCAAGAAAAAGCTTTCTTCTGTTCGTCAGAAATTTGATGTAAGTGATTTCCCTGGTAGGTCTTGGTAGCCATAGCTTTAAGTTCTAGTGTTATGAACCAACTTTACATTTGAAATGAATGTTAAAATACTGGTAGTAGAGCTGGAAAAAAAAAGGGTATGATTTAACACAAAAGGGCCTCAAAGATTGTGAGTCTGCATGTTCACAATTCTCATTCATGATTGCTTAAATACTACTATGTAATCAGTAGAACCTATAGTTTTTTTCATTGATTCAAAGTATGCCTATGTTCTTTTCCCTCTTCACATTTTTTGTTGAATGAGTAATGTTTTTTAGAGGGAAGGCATCAGTTCCCAGTGTTAACAGCTAGGAGGCTCCTGTTGGTGCCCAGCTGCCCAGCTGAGTCCTGGTCCTTTCATGATCACTACAGATGTCAGAAAGCATTTGGCTCTAAAACTATTAAACACTTTAGATTAGCAAGATTTTTGTTGTTTCTTTATTAGAAAATTTCTAAAAATAATCCTTTGTAGATTTTACTGGGTATTGATAGTTTTATATTAATAGCAACATATATTTATTTCTTTCCACCTCTGGCCTATGGCTTACATTAGTAATATTGCTCAATCTGGAGGACCTCAATATCTCCAAAAAGGTACAGATGGCTTAAAAAGCTGTGTTCAATATAAAACATAGCTTTATACTTGGAAAATGGGAAAAAATAACTTCAATATTATTATTTTTATGCTGGTCATGGGGCTTGAAGTCAGGTCCTGGGTGCTGTCTTTGAGCTTTTTTGCTCAAGGCACTGCCCCACTTGGAGGCAGAGCTCTACTTTTGTTTTTTTGGTAGTTTATTGGAGATAAGAGTCTCATGGACTTTCCAGCCTGGTTTAGCTTTGAACTGTGATCCTCAGATCTTAGCCTCCTGAGTAGTTAGGATTATAGGCATGATTACTGGCGCCTGGCTCAGTATTGTTTTATAATACAAATTTTAAACAGGGACAAACTTTACTATACAACCTTTTATATTATGCCAGGAGCATATTTCACATCTTCCAGTGATGATTGAGGATGAGTGGGCTATCAAGTCCAGAGGAAGCCTGAAATTTTTATGCATGAGGACAGGTTGAAGAAAATAGTTTTAGTTAGTGTGGCCATCTCTTAGATTCTGTGTTGGCCACTGTAAGCAGTAAATAACAGTAACTGAATAGCTCTGTCTTACAGTATTATCTTAGGGTATTGCCTGTTAAAGCTCTCATATTGATAAAGCACTAGTTATATGTCTATTATAATTTTGTAACCTACTTTCTCACAGTAAAGCTTCTGCCTTTTTGAATGCAGTTCTTCATCTCCTTCCTAACTGCTATTTTTTAGCACAGGCCCCACCAACATCTTGTGATCAGCATGGTATTAATGCATAGAATAAACTGCTGTGCACACAGCCATCCTTCTTAATTTATGTCTTTATTATTACCATAAAATGTGGGGCTTGAACTCCGGGCTTGGGCGCTGTCCCTGAGCTCTTTTGCTCAAGGCTAGCCCTCTACCTCTTTGAGCCACAGTGCCACTTCCAGTTTGGGAATTTCCTGCCTGGGCTGGCTTTGGACCACAATTGGTAGATCTCAGCATCCTGAGTGGCTATGATTATAGGTGTGAGCCATCAGTGTCTGACAAATACTATTTTTAATTTTTTTTTTCGCCTATGATACAGTTTCCATGGCTTCCATTTGTCTGGTCTCAATGTAATACTTGGTTTGTTTTTGGTTGAATCTTATTATTTGCTGGCATAAGAACTAATCTTGAAGTATTGTTCCTCATAGCATAGATTCCAGCCCCAGAACCCCCTCTCTGGAGCTCAGCAGTTCGTGGCCAAGGATCCCCAGGATGATGACGACTTGAAGCTTTGTTCACACACGATGATGCTGCCCACTCGAGGCCAGCTGGAAGGCAGGATGATCGTGACTGCGTACGAGCACGGTCTGGACAATGTCACCGAGGAGGCTGTTTCTGCTGTAGTCTATGCTGTAGAGGTTGGTTTGCTGTTGGCAGAAGTAACTTCACAAATTGCATTTGTCTAGTTAATGTGCAATGTTAAAGGGTTGATATTGCCAGAAAAGAACCAAAGTGTCACCTTTGTTTCATAGAACTGTCATCATTGAGGTTGTTTTCTTCACAATCCAAAGAATTACCTTAGTTAATAAACTCATCTTTTTCACAAAGGTTGCTTGTGGCCTACCACTTCTGCTTGATCTGGTGTTCAATTTGTTGGCAAAGGAGTAATTTTTAAGGAATTAGAAATGACAGCAGAAGTCCCAATAACCCAAGTTACTTTTTGCTGTGGAAGTGTTTAGAGAGTGTTAGTCTTGGCAGCTGAACAGTAGGATTTTCATTCAGCACACTATTTCATTCATTTAGTTATGTGATAAGATGTTACATGATGGTACTCAGTTAACATGCATAATTCCATTCATTTCATTGGGCCTCATTTTCTCATCTATATGTCATAGATGATAATAGCTATCTCACAGAATTAGAAGACTTAATTGAATTCTGCATGCAAACGTTATTAGATTGCTCAAAGATGTCTTTATAGAAGATGGTCGGATTGGTATAATGGAAATGCACAACCTAATCCTGGCTCCCTGGTTCATGGTATGGTGGGACTAATGTATCTATTTTCAAACAATGTCTCATGTACATTGCTGATTGTGTTTGAGTGTTCATGTGTATCTATTTCCTATGTGTCATGTTATATGACTTGAGAATGCAAAGGTTCTTTTTCATAGGATTTTGATCGCCAGTTTTTCCAAACAAAATTTTAAGATAGTTTGCCTTTTAAAACTAATTCTAAAAAGCTTTAAAAAGCCTTTATGTACATATAAAGAGAGCTGAATAAAAACCAGTGTGGCAGGGTGCTGGTGGCTCATGCCTGTAATCCTAGATACTCAGGAGGCTGAGATCTGAGGATCATGGTTCAAAACCAGCCCAGGCAGAAAAGTCCATGAGACTTATCTCCAATTAACCACCAGAAAACCAGAAGTGGTGTTGTAGCTCTCAAGTGGTAGAGCGCTAGCCTTGAGTTATAGAGCTCAGGGATAGCACCCAGGCCCAGAGTTCAAGCCCCACAACTGACAACAAAAACAAAAAAACAACAAACAAAAAAACCCAATTGTATTATTCTCTTTCCCAGGCCCTCCTCTGAATTGGCACTAACCTGCTGGCCTGCCCAGGTTTCCTAAATGCTGTGAACACTTTTTGGCCAATGCATATCTTATAGTATGCTTTCAAGGAAAGATTGTGCTACTTTTGTTTTTACAGAATCACCTCAAAGATATACTGACTTCAGTTGTGTCAAGAAGGAAAGCTTATCGAATACGGGATGGCCATTTCAAATATGCTTTTGGTAGTAATGTGACCCCACAGCCATACCTGAAGAACAGTGTGGTCGCATACAACAACCTAATAGAAAGGTAAATGGCTTCTTGTCCTTTGGCTTCCATCCTTTGCTAGTTGGTTACACTGATCTTATACTAAACCGCTGATAAGTAATCAATTAAAGGACAGCAGAACAATTTTATTTTCTAAGGCTGTTCCCTGCGTCCCTGTATGTTATTTAGTGAATTATTTTGGCCCTTTTTTGTGTGTGTTTGGCAATACTAAAGTTTGAACTCAGGACTTCACACTTGCTAAATCAGGGATCTGTTGCTAAGCCATACTTCCAGCCCTTTTTTTGAGCTTACTATTATTATTGTTATTATTATTATTATTATTTGGTGCTAGTCTTGGGGCTTGAACTCAGGGCCTGTGTGTTGTCCCTGTGCCTTTTTGCTCAAGGTTAGTGCTCTACCACTTGAGCCACAGCTCCAATTTCAGCTGTTTTGATGATTAATTGGAGGTAAGAGTTTCATGGGCTTTCCTGCCTGGGCTGGCTTTGAACAGTGATCCTCAGATCTCAGCCTCTCTGAGTAGCTAGTATTAAAGGTATGAGCCTCTGGTGCTTGGCTGAGCTTGATATTTTTGAGATAGAGTCTTGCTTCCTGCCGAAGTGTATGCCTGGAATATGATCTTCCTATTTTAGCCTTCCTGTTGTAGCTAGGATGACAGCTATGTGCTGCTGCCATGCCCAAATTCTGTTCAGATAGTGCTGGGGAACTTTTTGGTCCAGGCTGGCTTCAAACTGTGATCCTCCTGTTCTCAGCCTCCTGATATGAGCTTTTAAGGGTGTTTTTTTGTTTTTTTTTTAAACATCAGAGTAGAAGGTTTCATGTGGGTTTAATGCAGTCGCCTCCATCCTTTTCTGATATAGAATGGAGTTACTGTTTTGGGCAGTTCATCCTGATGTCAGCATCTGTCTAGGGAGGAAGTAGTTCTGTTCTCAGCCAGAAGCCTGGCCTATGACAGCCGGGTCAGGGCTGAGGATGACTTCATGATGGTGGTAGGAAGAAGATTGATGGGGTTTTCTCTAAGTCCTCATCTGAGTCCTGTAGTTCAAGGAAGCAGCCTATGCTCTTAGCACCATCTTGGGCTGATGTGGTCTCTTGGCTCATTTTTGGTTTCCTACATCTTTATTCCCAGAACCTCTCGTAAGTCCTAAATCATTCCTTTATGAGATGGCCTAGAGTACCTTCACCTCTTTGCTGTCTTTCTTGTTCTTGCACCTACCTCTCTCCCTCATCTTTCCCACCTTCCTAAATTGAAATGTGAATCTTAAGCCTTTGGAAAAGAAATAAGCAATAACACTCTGTTCCTCGTTAGTGAATTGAGTGAATCTCCTTCAAGTGCTGTATGTTTCCTATCTGGTTTTCTAGCTAGTTATAAAGAAGGGAGGTAAAGAAATGACAGAGAGATAGAAGTTTAGAAGAAAGATGAGATTGGGAAGGTTGTCAAGAGTGATGTGAGGAGAGCAGGAAAAGCCGGCAGCTGGGGCTGGAGGGGGAGAGCAGTGTGGATGGCATGTGGATAAGGTTGTACCAGTGTCATCTTCAAGACCACAGGGACTGCTACCAGAGTCATGAGCCTATTTCCATCTGTGCCACCTTCCATTGTGCTCCCTGTTCAGGTCGCCATTTGTAATCATTTCCTGTCTAAATCTCATGCTGGGCTGTCCATTTACAGTTGTTTTCATGTCCTTCTAACTGTAGAGAAAAGCCAGAAAGGTGGCTCCTTGTTATAAGGTGATGGAGCCCTGTCTGGTCTGGCCAGGCTCTGGAACTTTACTTCCCTCCTGCTGGCCAATCCCTGACAGGGCTCTGGCCTCCATCTACTGCTTGTTACTCTAAAAACAGGGCTACTTTTGTCCAATGTGTCAAACCAATTCTTGTTGCTGCCTCACTCGTTTCACTCTGTTCTTGAGAAGTATGCAGGCCACCGTGACTGAACTATGATGAAGAAACCATCTCTGACATCTCAGCTTATGTTTTTTTGAAAAATACTGAGATCTGGGTTGATTTACTCCATCCCTTATTTCCCCTTTGCCTGTTACTGCTTCTCTGCTTTTGTGCTAGCTCTTCCTTCTGTTTACTTTTGAGCTTGTTCACTCCAGTACTATCTGAAGTGAACAGCCCTTAAAAGCCCAAATTATAGGCTATTCATGTATACATTGATTGAGTTTCTAATTCACTTAAAGCTATTTAAATAAGATGTATTCTAACAAGCTACACTATTCTAGTTGCTCAGTTGTCTCCATTGCAGATACTGGGAAAATTAATAAATTAATTAGTTTATTTATTTATTCAGCCCTTCAGCCTTTTCCGCTCCCTATGCTGGCCAGAATCCAACTTCCCACCCACCGTCTGATGATGCTGAACAGCAGGCTGCCCTCCTGCTGGCCTGCTCAGGGGATACTCTACCTGCATCTTTGCCTCCAGTGAACATGTATGATCTTTTTGAAGCTCTGCAGGTAACTGTTAGCTCCTTAACACTTACCTAGTCTTCTGGACAGGTTAAATATTCCTCAACTCAGTGAAGATATTTACTAGCTTTCCTACTTTTTAACTTGGTTTTTAATCAGTTAAGCATTAAAAAAAATCATCTGTAAGTAGTTGTACAAGTGTTTCAGTTCAACACGTTGGTTCATGTGTACATTGCATGTTGAAACTGGGCTTTTACTGTTTTGGGGTGGTACTGGGGTCTCAATTTACAGCATTGTGCTTGCTAAGCAGGTGCTTGTTTTTTGAATAGGGTTTTGCATCTTTGCTTGGGCTGACCTAGATCCTTTTATTTATGCCTCCTTTTAAGCTGGGATGATGGACATGTGGCACCACAATCAGTTTATTGGTTGGAATGGGCTCTTGCTAACTTCTCCCCTGCTGGGCTCACCTTAAACTGTGAGCCTCCTAATCTGTTTTTCAAATAGCTGGGATTACAGACATACTACACTATTTCTAGTCTGTTTTTTCACTTTTTAAAAATACTGTTAATTAGGACTTAAGAAACAAAGAACTCCTGCTCATCTGGTTGAACCACTACTAAATATCCCCATGCTGCTGTATAACATGTGAACACTGTTATATATTACAGACTGTGATAGACAATTTGCTCCAGGAAAGTTAGAATGAACTTGTGACTTAGAAATTATGTAATCACTTAATCACAATCAAAAAAAAAAAAAAGAACTTTGGGGAAGGGAGGGAGGGAGGGGATGGTAGGGGGAAAACAATGGAGGGGCTAACAATGTTCAAGAGGAAGTGTACTCGTTACCTCACTCATGTATCTGTAACCCTCTATATAGTATCTTTACAATAAAAAAAATAAAAAAAAATACTGTTAATTATTAAAGCCATCAATGCTAGCCTCATTTTAAAATCCTGAGCCCAGAAATCCCTTCTAATTTGGCACCCTTATCCCCTACCTCTCCAATTAAAAAGGGGAAAACAATCTTGTTTTTCCTTGTGTTTCAGAACTTTTCTATTTCCTTGTGTTATCTGATTTGAGATTCATTAGGTTCTGTCATGAATATTTTGCTGATTTCTAAATTACAGGTGCACAGGGAAGTCATTCCTACACATACTGTGTATGCTCTTAACATCGAAAGAATCATCATGAAACTCTGGCATCCAAATCATGAAGAGCTTCAGCAGGATAAAGTCCACCGACAGCGTTTGGCTGCCAAGGAGGGGCTTTTACTCTGCTAAAGTAGGATTTGAGAATGTGGGGGATCATCATTACTGATAATGGAATGCTTTTTTGGGTCCACATTTCAAGGCTGAAGTGTATAGTGTATATATAACTTTTCCTATGGAAATGTTACATTGAGTACATTTTGTGTTGCTACTGTGAAGCCGTTAGTTATAAATTTGACTGATAATGAACTATATGTCTGTCTTTATCTTCCCAACTGTGGAAACAGGCATTGATGAATTCTGTGCCCGGGCTAGGGATGTTTAGGCAGCTAAAGCTTAGTGTTTCTGGTTTGCATGTAAGATAGCTGACAGAAGAAAAAAGCTCTTACAACTTGGTCTCTGTGACTACCACAGCATTTGTGTCTTCACTGATTTAATATATTCTCTATGTGGCAAGTCCAAAAGTGCTGCCTCTTCTAATCTGTATTGTCACATTTGGTTGGGATAACCTGTACAGTGTTAAAATCAGACACTTCCTTTAATGACCAGTAAATAGGTCAATTTGTCCCTGAACAATTTATCATTATAACTCCATAGAACGTGTGACTTGATAATCCTGTACCATTATACAAGAGTCATTTCTTTGCATTTACAACAAAAACCCAGAATTCTTGGACTGTAATTACTTTATGCTTTTCCCTGTAGCTCATGATACATTTTTTAGCATTAATATGTGCGGAGACTCAGGTTCACTATTTAAATTCCTATAGGATGTTTTGAGAAATCTTACAAATTTGATTTATGCCTACTAGTTCTCCTGTTCCCATGGAATATCTGTTTCAACCCTTCCAGATGATGACATGAAAATGATTTACTTTTGGCAGTATTACTCATGACCAACTATTTTTCAAGATAGGTAGCTTTCTATTTGAGAAAAACAGATGTTGATATAGATGGGTCTATGTAGGTTGAAGTAGTGAATAGATTTATAAGTGTACATGTGGTTTATGTTATTTGGATCTGTGTATTTGACTTTGTATTTTGAATGTGATAAATAAAACGTTTTAGGAGAAAACTTTTCTGTTGTAATTTTGTAAATATAGATGGGATACTACCTCCTAAAGAAGACTTGTTTTATGAAATCTAAGGATGTAGTAGATGAGAAAGATCTCAAAAGAAGGTTTCCTGGTGTGGTATGCCATTTATTGCCTTTCTGATGTGTAAGTTAGACTAAAGAGAAAACAAAACAAACAAAAAAACATGCCAGGTGCTGGTGGCTCATGCCTGGAATCCTAGCTCCTCAGGAGGCTGTGAGTTGAGGATGCGGTTCAAAGCCAGCTTGGGCATGAAAGTCCATGAGACTCTTATCTCCAATTAACCACCAGAAAACTGGAAGTGGTGCTGTGACTCAAATGGTAGAGCACTTGCCTTGAGCTGAAGAGCTGAGGGACAGCGCCCAGGCCCAGAGTTCAAGCCCCATGACTGACCAAAATCAACAACAACAAAAAAAAGCGCAAACTGAACTCCATCATCAGTTGTTGGCACAAGCCCTTGGAAGTGTTTGGTGAGAACCTTTAGGGATTGGGATTAATTTTGACTGACGTCCACACAAATGTAGTTTTGTTTTGTACGGCCATGTACCTGGGCCTCTGCTTCCCAGGACTGTATTGTGATCATGGAGAGGCAGGCAGGAGCCTCAACCTGTCTTTGCCCTCTGCATGGCAGATTCCACAATGGGAATCTTGTCCAGCATAGCATAAATTCCAAGTTAGGCAATCCCTCTCTACTCTAGGCCCTAGCCTAGTCGCCCCTCTGGTGGCTCACAATGACAGATGACTCCCTTTGTCTCACCTGTTTCAGGTCTGCATCTTTAAAAGGCCTGTTCTCCAGTCCACTTGTCAAGAAATCAGTTTTGAATGTGGGAAGACGGGGTTGAGGACAAGGTAGGGAAGCAGAAAGAGTAATGATCTTGAAGAGATAGCCTGAGACTTGAACTTCATTCTGACAAAAGCTGGCTTCATCTGTGACACTGTCAGAGTGAGATATTGTGTGCAGCCCCTTCTACAATTAAGAAGTCATGAGTACTTGTTGCCAACCATCATTTAGAAAAACATTTGAATGAAAAACAAAGCTGTTAAAAACCAGGTATTTCAGAGTTATTCCAAGTGATTTATCCTGCAGGTTCCCAGTCACTGCTTTTTAGCCACAAGTGTATCAGTATGCAAACACATTTGTGTAGGCCTGCTGCCTTTACCTTTATTGTCTACAGTGAGCAGCCACTCAAAGTTCCTGTAATACTTTCCATTGCCTGAAGTCACTGGGATGTCCTAACGTTTCACTCTTTGCACAACAAAATGCCAACAGACTGCTTCGGCATTTAAGGTAATGGTTTACAAAGGAAAAATCCGATCTCTAAATTGTTCTTGGAGTAGACTACTACTTAGAGTCTATGGGCATGGTAAATCGTCAGGGCTAATTCTAACAACATGTGGATTTGATGCTTTTAAAAACACTTGTAAAAAGAGGATACTAAGTTTTCTATCTACTAATTTAGCTATATTCACTCACTTTAAATTTATGTCCTGTGGATTTCTTTCATGCGATTCTGGCAACATAGCTATTCTGAGGATATCTAAAACATGACCCTGGGGAACAGAATTATTAGTGTTCCTCCCTCTATTTTGAAAAGCCAACTTAAAGTCATGCAATTCTTCATTCTGACTTCAAAGATACCAGTGTTACTTTCAATACATTCCATGGACACTTTTTGAGTCAAAGGTGTAAATATATTGGAACTGGATGGAGAATAAAGTTGAGGCAACAGTTTGAAATATAGCTTGTGAAATATAGCTTGTGTTAGTAGGTTAAGAAAACCACCATAGCCCACTGTTTTAATTATCAAAGTTTATTGTTGGGGTCAGTTCCTATCACTAGGGGATACAACTATATCTCGTGTGCTATAGGAATTCTAGGCGAACAGCCTTTCTGCAAAACAGTTGGATAAGGGCTCTGTTAGGCATAGATCATAGTAAGGGAATGGAAGAGTGAGCCCAGAAAACCCTGACAGCAAAGCCATCACTCTAGGAAAGTTCCAGTGCTATGCAACCTATAAGGCATTATCTCTCAGCTGACAATGAGACTTGAGGTGATGTGGAATGAAACAGGAGTCGAACCCATTTTCTACTATTCTGGGCAAGATAACTGTGGCTCCCATGCAGGAACCTTAAATTAGATTTCATGACATCTTTTAAGCTCCCACTGCAAGAGAAATGACATGAAAAAGAAAGGGCTAGAAAGTACACTAGTGGGAGGAAAAAAATTAAATAGAAATGGAATGGAAAATAATAAGGTTTAAATGCCACTTCTGGATGACCAAAGGCATTATAGGTAAAAAAAGCAAAGAGGGACTTAAGTCAAACACTGAACAGCATTCAGATACTAGAAGTGAAATTGCCCACCTTGTGTGTGACTGTGCAACTGGATTAAAACGATCAGAAAAGGACCAACAGGAAAATGAGTACCTGAGTAGAAATAGGTGTTTCAGGAAGCCAAAAACATCTTATAAAATGTATGTGAGTCCAGTGTACAGGAAGGAGAAGTGGTTTTTGGAATGTTAATTCTAGCAATGGCTTTGTCTTTGAGGTTCTGATATACATTTTTTTTTGTAGCACAGACAGCTTTGAAGAAATGTTCTCAAATACTCAAATTATGTGGGAATGCATGTAATTCATGTAAAAATCCAATGGCCTCCTGTTCTTGGAGGTTAGTCATGAAACAGCTGGGGCTAAAACCTTCCACTGTCTCTGTGACACGAACGTTACAGAAATTAAAACAAGTATCAGATGAGCCAAAGGGCCTTATACCATGGAGACAACAGAGTTCAGTGACTTCTGCAGGCAGCTTGAAAAACAGGACTTCAGTACTAAGTGCTTGCCTTATCATCAAATACAACAATGAAAAAAATAGGGCCATTAAACAAGACCCTAAAAGTCTAGCTGCCAACCAGATTTGGAAGATAAGTAAAACAGCATTATTTGTGTGAATTCCATCTTCCACAGTACTGTTGTTTGTCTATAGAAAAGCCATCTTCTGGCACCAGGCCAGTATGTGTTGATTTTATAGTTATCCTTAGTAAATCAGTTTCTCAAAAGGAAATGTTTAAGTAGCAGGTGTGCATAAGTGACATATTTGTACAAAATCTTTTCTGTAGTCTTGATCCATGTGGGGACAGGTTCTACTTTTGGAAGCATTTTCAAAGGCAGAGTATTGAGGTTTTTTTTTTTTTTACCAAAGGACACCACTAGAGCTGTATCCATAAGATGTCTCTTGGTGGTGAACAGATGGTCTCTTCTCCAGCCTACATCTTTGCTGGGTAGTATTTACACATTTCTTTGATGGACAGATGGAGTCAGCTCCAAAAGAAGACAGGGGCCAAGTTTCATTTCTGTTTTAGTTTCTGGTGTGCCTAAAGGTCCGAGATTTTGCTGACACTTCACGGGCAGGGCATGAGGGGCTGTGCCCTGGGACGTCCTGGCTGCTGGTGGATCTTGACTGTTCTGAGCCGCACACTGCCTCTTCCTGGAGCTCCCTGGGCATCCACACTTTCAAGAATGATCTTGAGGATTTTCCCCAACTGTTTCAACCATAGTGTCATTTGCTGGAAAATACAGAGAATCTTAAGTGTGAAGGAACCCCTGGATTTCTGGGTATTTCACTTAACAAAAATATTATTTTACCAGTTAAATTTCCAAATAGATGACAAGAAGTAGTTTCATGCCCATGTGTCTGTCCTCCCTTCTTCCCTCCCTCCTTCCTTCCTTTCCTCTCTTCCTCTCCCGCTCTTCTGTGCTAGGGGTTGAACTCAGAGCTTTGTACTTGTTAGGCAGCCATGTTCCTAGTCTTTTTGTTCAGATAGAGTCTCGAGTTCTTGCATAGCTTTGGACTGAGTTCCTATCTCCAGAGTAGCTGGGAATACAGGCATGTTTTGCCAAACCCATCTGGTTTTTGAGATAGGATCTTGCTAACCACATCACAATGCTCCTGTCTGTGCCCCTTGAGTAGATGAGGATTATAGGCATGCTCTGTCAGATTGGCTCCTCTGATTCTCTCATTCACTGCAGATTCCTGACTGCTTCCATCACTTCCTCAGCAGCTGTACAGAGAACTATAGCATTCTGGAAGAGCAAATGGGAGGTAACTTTTTAATAGCTGTAGTAAATATCAGCATAGCCTTTTCCCATGTTCTCTCCTGGTAGTCTTTTTTTTTTCCTTAATGGTTTCTTTTTTTTTAGCAGCTACTAGTTGCACAAGAAGAGTTTAACTGTGGTAATACGAAGAACTTTGATCAAACTCACCCATTCTGTCATTCTCCCTATACTCTTTTTAACAACTATTTCAACAGATTTCATTGTTTTATTTTCAATCATGTACACAAGATATTTTGACCATATTCACCCTCATTCTCCCTTTCTATTGGCCTTTCCCCCTCTGGCTAGTTCCCATCCCCTAATAGAGACGGTTTTACTTTCCTACCATTTATCTTTTCATCATTTTCAGATGTACATTAATTGAACGAAGGAGTTTCATTATGGTAGTCACACATACAAATACATGTCAGTCAGGCTGACCTCTACTGCTCTCTCCTTGTTCCCCCTACCCAACAACTGCTTTAATGAGATTCCTTATGTCTTCTGGCAGTTTTAAACTGGTCCTTAGTATAGTAAGTTATTCAGAAAACTGGAAGACTTCAAAATGGTGCAGAAGCTTCAAGTAAAAGCTTTCTGATCAGGCTCTGTGAAGAAGAGTCCGGGCCACAAAAAAGAGACTATATTTGGAAGAGCAAAACTGAGGAAGAGCAAAACTGAGGAAGAGCATGGAGAGCCACAAGAGAAGAACAGGGCAGCTAAAAAGTGGGGTGAAACAGAAAGGCAATAAAGAAAACTAGAAAACAGTTTGCCACAGCCAGTGCCAGCACCCCTGGTGGGTGGGAACAAAAGCTGAAGTCTCCACCCTAAGGTGAGCTTAAAGGCCTCCACCACAGACTGGAAACCCAGCTGTGGGTCAAATCTTCATTTGTTACATGCAGCAAATCCCAGTGCAGGAATGTGGTAGGACAATGGCTGAGGCAGTGTGCCTGAGAGGCAGCATCAGACAGGAACAATCTTTGCTCCTGTTTCAGAAAGCTTACAGTGAGTTGCCATCAGGTGGGAGGGCTTGCTGCTTGACAGGGAACAGACTTGTATGAGTTATCTGCAAGCAGCCTGCAGCCAGGCAAGCCTAAAAGATGACCACGGGCTTGGAAACAAAGAAACAACTGGCGATCTATGACATCCAGCCAATGTCAAGTGGCCAACAGTGACCAGGGGTGGACACAGAAAGGGAGGTTTGGCTCCTTACCCCGTGACAGTGACAGTACCTACATTGCCCAAGGGCTATTTCAGAAAGCAAAGGATCTCTCCTCCACTGGTAGACTGCTCACACTGCATGGTGATCAGCCTGCACTGGAGGTGTGCAAACCGCCTGCAGCCAGGTAAGCTTTGGAACTGAGTCACAACTGAGACACTTGGATGCTGGAGAACAGCCAGTGTTTAGGGATTTCTAGATCATATCCAGTTTTTGGGTGGAAGACTGCTGCCTGAAGATGACATCAAAGGAAGGAAGTTTTAACTCAGGCAAACTGAGGTCTCCCCAACAAGGGCTGGGGAAACTCTTGGCAGTCCCACCCTGTGAAAGCAGTTTCACGGCCTGTAGGTCATTTCAGAAAACAGGGCATTTGCCTTTGCTGTTGGGAAGTTCAGATTATAGAAGACTGGAGGCTTGGTAAATAAGGAACAATCAGAAGATAGATATGAGAGGTCACACGGAGAGGGAGGGGCTTAAATGAAGGCAAGTTGAGAATTAAAGCAAAAGGAGCTCAGGCAGTGAAGAGCCAAGGCATCAGTAACTCAATTTTGCTGGACAGAGCAGTCCCAGTGGCTGAGAATTGCTATGGAAATGGTACCCAGTCTATGGGTGGCTGAGCTCTAGTGCTCAGTACCTAAGCTAAGAGCTAGTTGATGGTTGCTACCAGGTGGGGCTGAGGGCTCCAAGCATAAGACTCAAGGCTCAAGAGGATCCTCTCCTGCCTCAGCCATATCACTGGGTGACACGCTACTAGGTGAGTCTGAAAGAACTGAGGTAACCTGCAGGTTGAATAATCTCACAGGTCTCCATCACTGGTGCATAACTCAGTGAGTAGTTTATTTTCTCCACTTATCAAGCACATTAGGGGAGGACCCCATCTGTTGCCAGGGGGGACATAAATAGGGAGAACTGAACAGCATGTAGATAACTGACCATAGACTAAAAAGTGCTCTGTGACCAGCAGTGGCTTCTAGCACACAGAGAAGCTTCCGAGGTGAAAGCATTAACAATCCCCACTCTCAACTCAAATATAATAGCAATCCAAACCCAAGTAAATACAAGAGACTCTAAATAGTTCCCTATGTGAGTGATTCTCTGACACGTGGGCAAAACCAAAAGGTTGACCTCAGATGAGTAAATCCTGGTGCAAGAACACAAGCAATATGAAAGAACAAGGCACCATGACATCTCCAAAGGTCACCAGCTCCCAGTAACAGATGCTTAGGATAGGTAAGAAAGTACAGAAGAACTTAAAAGCATGATAATCAGAATCATCAATGAAATAAGACTTGTATACAAATAAGCAGCTAAGGAAACTCAAGGAGGGTACCATTAAACAGTGGAATGAAGTAAGAAAGACAAAACAGGATATAAAGGAGAATTCAACAAAAACATAGAAATTCTAGAAATGAAAAGCTCAATTAGTCAAATAAAAACTCAGTGGAAAGTCTCTCTAAGAGAATGGATCAAACTGAAGACAAGACTAATAGGGATCAAAAACAACATAGATGTATTAGAATAGTCAAACAGGGAAAAAAGTAAAGAAGTGTGAGTGGAATGCGCAAAACCTCTGGGACATTATTAAGAGACCAAACCTAATAATCAGTGGCACATATAAAAAAAGGTGCAAATTGAAATGAGAAAAAATATACTCTAAGATATAGAAAATTTTCTACATCATGAGACAAAAGAGCCATTCAGGTACAAGAAACACTCAGGACACTCAAAAGACCAAACCAGAAAAGAACCCTCCAAGACACATCATAGCTAAACACATTAAGTGTACAGAACAAGGAAAAGATACTGAAAGCTGTGAACAAGAAGCACCATGTTTTTTACAATGGGAAGCCCATCAGAATCCCAGATTTCTCACCAGAAATCTTAAAACAAAAGAGGGTGTAATAATAAAGTGATGTTTTTGAACTACTAGCCTAGATGAATCTACCTAAAGCCATCATTTAGAACTCAGGAACAAAATAAAACTTCAAGGACAAAAGCTAAAGCAATCTATGACCACTAAATCAGCACTACAGAAGTTTATCAAAGGAATTCTACACACAGAAGAGCAAGATAAATATAACCATGAAAACAGAAGAGAAAAATACATTTCATCACAAAAGCAGATAAGCAAATGAAGAGTAGGAAAGAATCAAACTACAAAAACAACAAAATGAATTGGGGAGAGACTCGACAAATGGGACTACCTTAAAATAAAAGGTTTCTGCACAGCTAAAGTCATAACAACCAAGCTAGAAAGACAACCAACGAATTGGGGAAAAATATTTACCAGCAATGTATCATAAAGGGGTTAATATCCAGTATATACAGAGAACTCAAGAAACTAATCCCTCCCAAACCTAACAAACCAATTACTAAATGGGCAAGGGAACTAAAGAGAAACTTCTCAGAAGAAGAGATAAAAATGAGGAAATGTTCACCATCCCTGGTTGTAAAGGAAATACAAATAAAGACAACCCTGAGATACTACCTTACCCCAAGTCAAAATGGCCCACATCCTAAAGTCAGCCAAGGACAAATGCTGGAGGGGATGCGGAGAAAGAGGAACCCTATTACACTGCTGGTGGGAATGTACACTTAACAACCACTGGAGGGTCCTCATTAAGCTAAATATTGACCTCCCCTATGACCCAGCCTTACTACTTCTAGGCATCTATCCTGAACAATAGGAACCAGCACTGTTCACAATAGCCAGGATATGTAAACAACCCAGATGTCCCACTACAGATGAATGGATCCAAAAATTGTGGTATCTATACACAATGGAATATTATGCAGCCATTAGAAAGGACAAAATTATGGTATTTACAGGGAAATGGATGGAACTAGAAAAAATCATGTTGAGCAAGGTAAGCCAAGAGCAAAGAGACAAATGTCACATGATCTCTCTGATAAGTGGATGTTAAATCCAAAATGTAAGGTGATAAAACAATTTAACAAGACTTAAGAAATAAAGGACTTCCACTCATCTGGTCGAATCACCACTAAATAACCCCTTGCTGCTGATCATATATATGGTATATATGTGCACACTGGAGGGAAACCAGGAGGAGGACACAGAACTAGAGGGAATCAGGGAAAGTCAATAGCTGGATCCATCACCTGCACTGGACATTGATCAAAATGAACTAAGCAACTCAATGGCAGTGATGGGAGGGAGGGAACAAAACAGCTGACACTATGCAAAACGAAAGAAATGTATATATCACCCGACGTGGAAGAAATAACTATTGTCAAACATCATAGAACTCATAAATGTTATAGACTACGATAGACAATTGCCCCATGAAAGTTAGAATGTGTTTGTGACTTTAACTAAGCATCACTATCCCACAATACTGTAAAATTTGGGAAATTTATGTAATCACTTAATCACAATAAAGAATTTGAAAAAAAAATAAAAAATTCCCCGAAAAGGGGAAAAAAAAACCAAACCCCTAATAAAATGGCAGAAATGATTACATACTTTTTAATAATGACACTGAATGTTAATTATCTCAATTCTCCAATCAAAAGACAGTGTGGTAAGTTGATAAAAAAGCATCACCTGACCACTTGTTGTCAATGGGAAAGGCATCTTGAAGGAAACTGAAGACACTAGAAGATGGAATGAAGACTCACTGCTTATGGCTTGGCAGAATTAATAAATAGTTATGCTACCAAAGCAACTTACAGATTCAATTCAATCCCCATCAAAATGCTAATGTCATTCTTCATAGAAATTTGAAAATTAATCCTAAAACTTCACATGAAAACACAGAGGATCTCAAATAGTCAAAGCAATTTTGAGAAAAAAAAAAGTAATGCTGGAAATATCACAATTCAGGCTTCAAATTATAATACAGAGCCATACTAACAAAACCAGCATGGTATTTACACAGAAACCTACTTGAAGACTAATTGAACAGAACAGAAAACCATGAAATAAATCCACGCAGCAACAGCTATCTGATTTTTGACAAAGGAGTTGAAAACATGACTGGAAGAACAGATAACCTTCCTATGCTTGGTAAACTGTTTATCTACAGAAGAAACTATTCTTATCTCTTGCACTAACATCAACTCAGAGTGGATTAAGGATCTTAATCTAAGACCTAAAACTTTGAAACTACTATACGAAATGATAGGGAAAATACCAGAACATACAGGCACAGGCAATAACTTCTTGAATGGAATTCCAATAGCTCAGCAATTAAGAGCAAGGATTGACAAATAGGATTGTATCAAAATAAAAAGATTCTGTGCAGCAAAGGAAACAGTAGATTGAAGAGATATCCTAGAGAATGAAAAAATATTTGTCAGTTACACATCTAACAATGGATTAATAACAAGAATATACAGGGAGCTCCAAAACTAAATTCTCAAAGAATCAAATCCAATTAAAAGGGTAAATATACTGAACAGATAGTACAAAGAGCCAATGAACAGACAATTCTCAGAATAATACAAATAGCCAATAAATACATGGAGAAATGTTCACTATCCCTGGCCTTAAAGAAAATGCAAATCAAAATGACATTGAGATTTCATCTTTCTCCACTCAAAATTACCATCAAGAATACAAATGAAAATAAATACTAGTTAGGATGCAAAGGAAAAGGAAACCTTACATATTGTTGCTAGTAATGTTAACTAGTACAATCACTATGGAAATCAGTTTGGAGGCTCCCTAAAAATAGAACTACCAAATAATCCAATAATTCCCCTTTCTTGGGCACATATCCAAATAAATGTAAGTCAGTATCTACAGAGATACTAGCACACCCATGTTCATTACAGCACTATTTACAATTACTAGGCTATGGAAACAGTCTAGATGCTCTATAACTGATAAATGGATTAAGAAAATGTGGTATATCTATCTATCTATCTATATATGTATATATATACATAATTGAATATTATTTAGCCATAAAGAAGAATGAAATTATGTCATTTGCAAGGAAATTGAAGGAACTAGATGATGTGTTAAATGAAATAAGCCAGGTTCAGAATGTTGCATGTTTTTTTCTCATACATGGATCCTAGACCTGAAAGACAAACATGTATGTAATCACACACAGGATCGATCACACACACACACACACACACACACACACACACACACACACACACGTTAGTAACAGTGGGTCTATTTGAGGGGATTTGGGAAGGAGGAAAAGAGAATGGTGTAGGGTAAACAATGAATCCATGATGACCAATTTAGCAAAATGAAACTTACTAAAAGCTGTTGAATAGCAGGGGTAGTGAGAATAGGAACCACACTAGTAAGTGAGGTGTCAATCTGATTAAAATAATGACATCCTGATGCCAGTGGCTCATGTCTGTAATCCTACTTACTTAGCAGGCTGAGATCTGAGGATCACAGCTCAAAGCCAGCCTGGGCAGGAAAGTCTGTGAAACTCTTATCTCCAATTAACTACCAAAAAAAGCTGGAAGTGGATCTGTTGCACAAGTGGTAGAGTCATGAGCAAAAAAGCCATGCGCAATAAAGCTCAGAGACAGTGCTCAAGCACTGAGTTGAAGCTGGCACACACACACACCGTGGGGGGCGGGGAATGGAGAATGCTTCAAAATGTTATCTGGAAAGAAGAAAGAGAGGGAAGGATAAAAATAAAAATGACGTTACTCTAAGTTTGGTAGGCAATAGAGTCTGAATTCAGGTTTTTGTTTTGTTTTTTGTTTTTTAAAGAGTGGGGAACATGACGAAAGTGATTTCAGTGATTTTTAATGCCATAGTAAAAACTGCTTCTTGCTCAATTTCAATTCTAGGAACCCAGAATTACCCCAGAGTTCAATAACATGAGTTCAGCTTGTTGTAGAGTCAAGGAAGGAGCCTATTGGTTTTCTTTTTTGCTGGTACCAGGTTCTGAAATCAGGGCCTCCCAACTGCTTGGCTGGTGCTCTACTACTTGAGTCATACCTATAGATTTGTTTTTTGAGACAAACCAAAGAAATGGAGTTTTACTTACATTTTTGTTCCAACTAACCTGGAAATGTGATCCTCAGGATCTCAGCTTCCTGAATGGCTAAGATTACATGCATGAGCAACCAGTACCTGATGTCACTTTTGAATACACAGATGTACTTATACAGTGGGAAAGTAAGAATTCTACTACCATTTCGCTTGGAGAAAAAAAGCAAGTAGAAAAGACACACAGAACAAAATATAAAAGGACTCTTGCCTTTTATATACTGCATCTGGAGGCATAGATTGACAATTAAGAAAATGAGAACAAAGTTAAAGTGAGTTGTTCTTTCTGCATATTACCAACTCTGTGGCCATTTTCTACTTTCTCCAGGTGTTAGGTGGGGAGGGAGGTTGAGGGAAGCTGTGGACTTATCTCCCAGTATTGGTTCTTTTGGGCACCTACTCCTTGTATCCTTTCAACTCATCTTCTGTGCTTCAAAATCTCAATCCTTTTGTCCTTGGTCTTTTAACCTGACTCACTGTAGTCCTAGACTACTGGTGCCAAGACTGGGTTTAAAAGTACTTTCTTTCAGACCTCTGCTGACTACAAGAAGTTAAGGAAATTGTTTACTTGATCTAAAGGTCTATATGAGACTAAGATGCATTTTTAAAACTTCTGCATTTCCTAGGAAAAAGCAAATGGGAGCTAAATATATCACACATATATTTATACATAGGTATATATATACACATATACATATAATGTTTATGATGGGCATTGTGTGACCACTAAGGAAGAGCCCTGAAACGCAGAGACTACTGTACTGAACGTAGACTTCATGTTCACCTGTGTCACGGGCCTATAGGCCAGTAAAAATCAGTACAACAGTCCCAACTAAATCAGGAACACATACCAGTCCTAAAGGCTTAACATGATTTATAGGGAAAAGAGAAGTCTTTCAAAAACAAGTTTTTATAAACTATGCCATGTCAGAATGGGCCTTTTCAGGCCCAAATAACTTCTTCTGTCGTTATAGCTCTCAGATCTAATGTTTTGGAAGCTCACCATTTGTTCATTTTACCTATTATTTAGGTTCTGACTTCAGAACCAAATATATACAAAGGAAGTCAAACAATCAGTTGCCTATAAATAAGAAAATTCTGGTGGCCTGTCATCTATACTCATGCATACTGGAATCTAAAGAAATCCAAAGTAGGGAAAAGATAGTGTGTGCTGAACAAGAGCAGGGCCATCATTGAATCTAACGAAGCATTTATTTCCAACCACTTACCTTGGTCCTTCAGTTGCCCTCAGTCATGCTCTCAGTATCACATTCTTTCGGTGGTTCTCCTCCTCCTGGCAACTCACTTTCGATTTCCCACAGTTCATCATCTTCTTCCTCCAAGTTGCTGGAGATGTGGCACTTCTTGAACCCTTGCACAATGGATTCACTTGAGATGCTGTTCCACGCCACCATGACCCATTCCAGGAAGAGACCCAGGGGTGGCTTCTTGGCATTCCCAGTAGGGCTGAGCGCCAGGTTCCCAGCCAGAAGCCAGTTAGAGTACTGGGCACGCACACTGTCATTCAGTGGCTTGTACACCACCACATCCAGCACCTGCAGCTGTGGGGTTAGGCTCCCGGGGATGATCACCATGTCTGTGTTCAGACTCTCCATGGAACTCTTCACAGAATCAGTGGCATGACCCCGGAAGCCATTCAGGATCAGCATCCCTCGTTGCTTGGGAAGTGCTCCTGTCCTGCGTCTCCACACCACTTCCAACCAGTCCTGCATCAAGTCTTCAGTCATCCACCCATAGCGATGGCAGCGGATTTCCATCCCACTGGGGAACTTTCCTGGGGGGATGTAGGTTCCCCTCAAAATGATATACGGAGGTAACTTCTTCCCATCAGCCAAGACACCAAGCATGGCCGTGATCCTTAGTTTCTCCCTGCCTGGAGTCTTGACCAACACAGGCTTTTCACCCTGGTTGTCAACAGTAACCCTGGATGGCACCTCCAAGCAGATGGGTGTCTCGTCTGCATTCCCCATCTGTGTCACCTCGTAGTCATGCGCCCTGCGCAGAGATAACACAGTCCGCTGGTAAGTGATGAGCTTCTCAGTCAGGTCTTCAGGCAGGTGCTGGGGTACAGGTACTTTGTGCCTCAGAGACAGGTCATACCTTCTCATCATTCTTCGACACCAACCCAAGCTTGCTTTGAACCCTTTCTCTGGAATGTTCATTTCTTGGGCAATTTCAAGAGCTTTCAGCTGCATCGCCTCCCTGGTTATGGGGTCCCCTTTGGCCTGCATGTATCTGACATACTCAGCCACGCGTTGGTCCACCAGAGCAAACCTGCCATTCTTGGGGCCTCGGAATGCCCGTCGCATGGCATGGGCATTCTGCAGCTGTGGCTTCACCTTGCGCCAGTCTCGAACGTTTTTTTCGAATACTCCAAACTGCTTGGCAGCCTGGCAGTTGTTGGTGCTCTCGGCATACTCTACCACCATCAACTTGAATCCTGCGTCGTAACTGCGGCGCATGCCCCGGCTGAACTGAAACTTCCCAGCTATGTCATCAGCCGAGAGGTCGTACCCCGGGAAGCCCATGGCCATGCAGAAGGGGTACCCCTCACTCCATTCAGGCAGCTCAGTGATGTCCCGAGGCAGGCGCAGGCCAAAGCTGTCAAGATGCTGAGGCTGAGGGAAGTGGGAGGTGGTATTCATGGGGGTTGCCCAATCTGGAGACTTCACATCAGATTCTTCATTTTCTGGGAGACAAATGAGGGGGAAAAGAAGTCAGCGATTAAGTGGCTTAATTCTTGATTTTTTTTGAGTCAAAATGTTTAATAAGGTTCACCAAAAATAGTAACTTGAATAATAGATAATACTAAGTTGTTATCCCAGTGCTAATTTATACAGATTCCATACAGACTCAGCCATGGTGGCCATCAGTGTTCCTACTCTGTAGATGAGGAGAGAGAAACTACAGAGGTTATAAATGGAGTCAAGATTGCCAAGCTAGGACATAGCAGGAGAACTTGGGACACAGGTTCCAAGCTTGGATCAAATAAAAGGGATGCTATGTTGGGGTCCAAAAACAGTATTTATGTGGATGAGGAACCAAATACAATTCACTGTGCTTCCTAACATTACAGAGCTTTGGTGGAATCATAGCCCTTGAATTAAGAAAACCTGTAAGAAAATTCATGCCAGCAAATTTAAGTTTATAGTTTTAAGTTGCTTCTTGCATACCAATGTGTATACTTATATTTGGAAGATCATTACAGAAATGGAATATGATTGGGAGATTTCTCCTTTCACCAAAACTAAAATGCTATCAATTGTAAAATGCACCTTTATGTGCTACTAAAAGAATAACAAAATGCCTTTAGTTCTAACCATCACATGCAATCTTTTCCACAGGTCTTCTCAATTACATAAAGTGGCAGGGAAAAAAGTGCTTTAGAATCAGTAAAATATGGAAGCTATGCTGTATTTTTCCAACTACTGCTCTCCTAATCTTTTTTCATTTTGATAAAAAAAAGAAACTAGGTGCCTCTTAAGACTTATCTACTCAAATGTGAACTGTGGCCTTTTATATCCAGGATGAAACAGACAGGAAGCTCAGGGTAAATACACTGGATGCACACTTCCTCTCACTAGTACTGAGTTTGCAGAAGCATGGCATGTGGCATGCTGCCGATGTGGCCACACTCAGCCAGAAAGTGCACTGGACCACACACCATGCAAACTTCATTTTGCTCCAGTCAAATACAAGGTCACACACATCAAGGCTTATTTAAATCCACAACTGACCAATGAGGAGACTGAGGCCCAGAGAAGTAAAAGAAGTTGCCTAAGATCACAAAGAACTGTCAAGAGATTTTTAAACTCTCCATTTTTAAAGTCCATCATCATTGTGCTTCATCTCTCAACATCCCACAAAACGTATGCAGAAACTGAAAATCCGGCTTTAAGATGCTCCTATTAGGGCGGACACTGAAGTGTACTTGTAGTACCTGTAACGGGTCCTCCTTGTAGCTGCCACTCCTCAGAATTATGAGACTCTTCCTCCCGTTCCAAACGAGTGATCATGTCTGGCTTAGGGAATGGGAATTCTGTTCACAGAAAATAGAATAGGTAACAATTGTGCTACTGTCCTGAAGCAATGCAAACCTAAGTATTTTATAATACTTAAGAAACCCTATTCCCTCCAATTGTAAAAGATGGGACAAGTTTGGTGATATTCAAAGAAAAAAATATGATAGAAAATACATCTGTCTGAGGGCGTTTCTGGATCTCTGTGAATGAGGGCTGGGGCCAGCATTGGGCTTAGTATAATAACATAAAAACTGCATTTAGCAGAGAAGTGGGTGGAGGCTACCACAGATGCAATAAGCATGCTGGTACGTCTGTGAGCAACCTGGGCAATCCAAATGGATCATGTGGGAGTGTGTGTGTGTGTATGCATACTTTGGGGGACATGTCCCTATGTTTCTGAGGCTGATAACAATGAAGGCCTTTCTTCATTGTGGGCTTGTGAAGCACAAGCTCAGATACAAGGTGACATTTCTAAAGTTGTCCTTCTTGGGCTGGGAAGGTAGCTCAGTGGTAGAGGGCTTGCCTTGCATGCATGAGACCCTGGGTTCAATTCCTCAGCACCACATAAGCAAAAAGAAAAAAAAGCTGGAAATGGCACTGTGGCTCAAGTGGTAGAGCGCTAGCCTTGAGC